TCCCCGCGGATGGAGAGGGAGCGGAAGTGCTCGAAGTCCGTCCGTCCCGCCCTGCGGAGCCGCCGCGCCGCCGCCCGGTAGCACTTCCAGGGCTGCGGCTCCAGGAGCAGGACGGAGCCCAGGGAGGCCAGGAACGCCAGGAATTCCCACAGGCCCCCGTCGCCGTGCCGGAGGTGGATCCACATGGTCACGGAGAGGCAGGAGATGAGGTCGAAGCGGGAGCGGCCGAAGCGCTCCAGGTGGGAGCTCAGGAAGGGGTCCCTGGAGCCGGGATCCATGATGTCCAAGGGCACGAAGGACACGGATTCCGGGAAGGGGCTGCTCTGCCGGGCCCTCTGGATCAGCTCCGGGTCGATGTCGCAGCACAGGAGGTTGAGCTGCTTCCCGGCGGCCTCCGGATCCGGGCGGGAATCGCCCTCGCGGAGCCCCAGGAGGTGCCGGTACAGGGCCAGGCTGAGCTCCTGCAGGGAAAACATCCGGGATTCAGGGAATGGCACGGGATAACACTCATGGAGGGGCTGCCCCTCCATGGAATTCCCAAGGAAAATAACACCAAGGAACTTCCATAGACCAAGCGGATCCAACCTGGCCTTGGACACTCCCAGGGATGGGGAAATCTCTGGGAATTTCATCCCAGGAGGTGCCGGTACAGGGCCAGGTTGAGCTCCTGGAGGGAAAATATCCGGGATTCAGGGAATGGCATGGGATAGCAGCACCATTCATGGAATTCCCAAGGAAAATCACACCAGGGACCTTCCATACACTGGGGGGATCCAACCTGGCCTTGGACACTCCCAGGGATGGGGAATCTCTGGGATTTCCATCCCACGAGGTGCCTGTACAGGGCCAGGCTGAGCTCCTGCAGGGAAAACATCCGGGATTCAGGGAATGGCATGGGATAGCACCACCACTCAGGGCTGCTCCTGCATGGAATTCCCAAGGAAAATCACACCAGGGACCTCTCACAGACCAGGGGGATCCAACCTGGCCTTGACACTCCCAGGGATGGGGAATCCTCTGGGAAATCCATTCCAGGGCCTCTCCACCTTCCCAGGGAGGAATTTATCCCTAATATCCAATTTAAACCAGCATATGGAATCCTGGAATGGGTTGAGTAGGAAAGGACCTCAAAGCTCATCCCATCCCAGCTTTCCATGGGCAGGGACATCTCCCACAGACCAGGGGCATCCAACCTTGGAGTGGCCTTGGACACTCCCAGGGATGGGGAATCTCTGGGAATTCCATCCCAGGAGGTGCCTGGACAGGGCCAGGCTGAGCTCCTGGAGGAGAAAACATCTGGAATTCAGGGAATGGCTGTCCCAGTGACCCCAATAACCCACACCAGTGCCTTCCCAGTCTGTCCCAGTGTACCCCAGTACTCCACACCATCCCTTCCCAGTCTGTCCCAGTGACCCAAATAACCCATATCAGTGCCTCCCAGTCTGTCCCAGTGCTCCCCAGTCTGTCCCAGTGCCCCAGCCCCCCACACCAGTGCCCCCAGTCTGTCCCAGTGTACCCCAATAACCCACACCAGTGTCCCCCAATCTGTCCCAGTGCCCCCAGTCCCCCAAATTAGTGCTTCCCCAGTCTGTTCCAGTGCCCCCAGTAACCCACCCAGCGCCCCCCAGTCCACCCCAGTGCCCCCCAGTCTGTCCCACTGCCCCAGTACCCCACACCAGTGCCTCCCACTCTATCCCAGTGCCCCCCAATCTGTCCCAGTGTATGCCAGTACCCCACACCAGTACCCCCCAGTCTGTCCCAGTGCTCCCAATAATCGACACCAGTGCCCCCAGTCTCTCCCAGTACCCTCCAGTCCGTCCCAGTGCCCCCCAGCCTGTCCCAGTGTTCCCAGTAACTGACACCAGTGTCCCCCAGTCTGCCCCAGTGTTCCCAATACCCCACTCTGTCCCAATCTGTCCCAGTGCCTCCCAGTCTGTCCCAGTGCCCCAATATCCCACACCAGTACCCCCCACTCTCTCCCAGTGCCCTAATCCCCCAAACCCGCGCCTCCCACTCCTCTCAACCCCCTTCCCATCCCTTTTCACCCCCAAATCCCCCCCAAATCCCCCCAAAATTCCCCCCTCGCCCCTCACCCCGGAGTTACAGCCCACATCGAGCGCCAGCAGCGGGCGGGGGCCCTCGGGGAACAGCGTCTGGAGGAGCCCGGGGGGCACGAGGCGGACGCGGCCCTCGGGAGGGTGGAACCGGGAATAATTCGGGAAGTTCCCGTAGGGAGCCGCTCCCGGATCGAGCCCTCGGGACCCTCCGCCGGGATCGGGCCC